GCTTCTACTGTCCTTGAGTATTAGTCTCAAACTTTTTTCAAACATCCCCAAAATGAGCGCAATCAGTCTATGTCTCTGTCCCTCTTCCTCTGACTGACTTCACTTAGCATGATATTCTCCTTGTCTATCCATTTATAAGCAAATTTCATGTGAAGGTAAAAAACAAAACAAATACAAGTTACAGAAAACTTGACTAGGTATCAAAGCCAAAGATTTAGAAGAATGATGTAGCCACAGATTGAATGAAGTAGCAACCATCACTGTGAAACTAGATCTTACACAAGATGCTCAGAGTCTATGTTTTCTTTCAACTATATTCAAGCTGCCTCCACTTGACTACTGCTTTGTTTCACATGTTCCAAGGTGAACTCTTCATATACCCTCGCATAAGCTTCCTATCAAGGAAATCACTGCTAGTAAAATACACTAACATTGCTCTATCTGCATTTATTCAAAAAGCATTACTGAGTGCCAGCTGCATGCTAACTACTGTGGGGGCAACACTCTCTCTTCCCTATTGCTCCTTCTCTCTCTACCCCTTACCTCTTCTGTTTTTTCTCCCCGTGGCTCCCATTAAGTCTATAGTACTTTGAGTGTCTTTGTTTTCTTTTGGCTTTTTTTGGGGGGGTCGGGGGTTACACCCAGTGGTGCTCAGGGCTTATTCCTGGCTCTGTGCTCAGGGATCACTCCTGGTGGGTTCAAGGGACCTTATGAGGTACTGAGGACAAACCCCAGATTAGCTGTTTGCAAGGCAACTGGCCTACCTGCTGTACTACTGCTCTGATCCCTTGAGAGTTCTTTATATATTCAAAACCAGAGATTCCCCAAAATAACTTACCTATTATTTTATTTAGGTACTGACCTCTTTAAAAAAACCCCACCCAACAACAAAAAACCCCACTCCATGTCCCCCTGGCAATCCACCTTCTGTAAGCAAACAAACAAAAAACACCCCCTAATTGCAACAAAGATGCTATCACAGTCCCTGGATCCTTCCAGTACATTACCTACTTTGGAAAACACTGTTCTGGACATTATGCCCTTAATAGGTATGTGATTTACAAATATATTCTCCAATTTTCTGCTTTATTTTTTTCACACTGTTGACTGTGTCCTTTGATGCACATGTTAAATTTCGATGTAGCACTGTAGCACTGTCCTCCCATTGTCCACTGATTTCCTCAAGCATGCACCTGTAACGTCTCCATTGTGAGATTTGTTGTTACTGTTTTTGGCATCTCGAATAAGCCAAGGGGAGCTTGCCAGGTTCTGCCATGTGGGCGGGATACTCTCGGTAGCTTACTGGGCTCTCTGAGAGGGACGGAGGAATCGAACCCTGGTCAGCTGCATGCAAAGCAAATGCCCTACCCGCTGTGCTATCGCTCCAGTCCGATAAGAAAACAAGAAAATTAAAGAATGAAATCTGCAAAGTAAACACTGTAATTCCCAATCTAGTGCTTCACAGGAACAAAATGAGTTTAAGAAGAACCACCAAAATCTGGCTTTGAGGCTTCATTGAGAAAAATGAGCAGAGTGATGCCCGAGGCCTGTGTGGAGCATGGGTAGAAGGCGGCTGTCGCCCCAAGTGAGGGCAAGACACTGATCTGACGAGCACTTGTGAGATGGGGCCAGGAACGGGCTCTGAGTCTGAGTTCCCGGGACACGGGTTTCAGAGTATTCCACATTCCACCGAGTGTAAGGAGCTCACTGGAACTTGGGATTATAACTATTTATAGGTTTCTAAGAGGCTGCAAGTGACTGAAAAGCCCCGAGCAGGACCGAGCTAGCAGGAGAAATGGAATTAGACCGTTTTCGGGATATCAAAACTCCAAGAAGCGTAACTTTCTCAGGGACCCTTAAGCTCACCCAGAGGGTCACCCTCTCCTAAGCTCCCTGCAAGCTACTCTGCCTTCCCCCCCTTCATTTTGAATTTTCATTCTTTCTTCCTTTTCTAACTTATTCTTTTGCTTCTGGGTCACACCCAGTGATGCTCAGAGGTCACTCCCGGTGGTGCTTGGGGGACTTTAAGGGTGCCAGATTCTGAACCCAGGTCATCCACCGGCGAGGCAGGTGCCCTCCCCAACCTTCCTGTGGCTCGGCGCCTGCATTGGGGTCTCCTATCATCCTCACTGGTCTCTCTGGAGAACCAGAACGATCGAGTCACAGATCCTTTTAGCAAATTCATCCCTGTTTTGTACAAAATGGTTTTTAAATTATAACTAAAAATATGATGCTTTATTAAATGTTTTCATTTTAATGTAGTCCTCTTTATTTTATTGCTGCTGTTGCCTGTAAACATTGGTTTTGTTTTTTTCCTTTGGTTTTTGGGCCATACCTAGTAGTGCTCAGACGCAACTCCTGGTTTGGTTGATCCTAGAAGTGCTCAAAAGACCTTACGGTGCCAAGGATTGAATCTGAGTTTCTCATATGTAAAGCATAGGCTCCTGTCCTTTGAGCAGCCTCCCCAAATTATGTTTTGAAGTCATAAATCAGGCAAGTCATATTAAAAGGTTACTTATAATTTACAACTTTCCCAGTAAATGGCACTTGGTTAAAAAAGAGATTAATGATTTTAAAAAATTGCCTCCAACTGGCATTTAGTTTTATTGATAGGATGTTTATGATTAAATTCCTTACTACAAATCATAACTGGATTAAGAAACTGGCAAGATGAGTTCAGGCACGCTCCGTGAATAATCCAAATGCTGGTTTATTCTGTGAGTGAGAATGCCAGAACAATCTGCAGCAGCCAAACACAAGAATTGACCAAGGGACATTTAACTGGAACTTAACAAAAGTTTCTTTGCTTGGAGTCAGACTAAAGTAATTAGATTAGAAATAAGCTGGGAAACAAACTAAATGTAAGATATGATAATAGACTTTCATAAATAGATATTTAAAAATGGGTGCAACAAGGTTTTTCTTCAAATTTTTTTAAAGGATCTGTTTTTGGTATAAAGAAGAAACCTGCAAATCCTTCTGCTAGTCATATGAATCATTTAGTCCCAATAGGCTTACAGTCAGGGGTCTTTACAGTTTTTAATTGGCTTGACAATTCAATACTATAACTAAAATTGCATTGCCTTCTGATTATGTAATTTTTTTGGAACAAGCATCTCAAATAGATGCCAAGTCAATATGTAAAGCTTGACATCAACCCAAAGATACTTAAATTTTGCCTATTCTAAAATTTAAGAATTCTTGAGAATACTATTATAATTCTGATGGGAATGTAGCCATAAAGCTAACATTTCTTCTAAATTTCTATCTCTAGCTGCATGCAAAAGTGTGGCTCCTCTCCTTTAATAAAAGAAAATGGGCTTTAGGTCCAAAATTTTGTTTTTGGGTAATATTTGGCAGTGTTCAGAGGTTCTTTATGGCTCAGGAGGCCATATGCGGTGCCAAGGATTGAACTGAGGCTTTCTTGTATGCACGGCATGTTCTCTAATCCATTGAGCTATCTCTTTGGCCCCTAAGCCAGAATTTTTGTGATAACTATGGCTGGAAAAATTCTGCTAATAACCTTAGTTACCAATGAAGAGATTATTTCTATATTATCTCATATTCTGTAAGAGTGAAGTATGATCATTAATTATTAAGAAAGCATTCCCTGGAGTCAAAGAGATAGTACAAGGGTAAGATGCTTGCCCTGCATGGAATCAATCTCAGTTTAATCTCCAGCACTGTATATGATCTTTAAAGCACTTCCAGGAGTGATTCCTGAACATAGTAAGAATCACTGAACACTGCTTTCCTCACCGCCACCCATCAAAAAAAGGTGGTTAGGGAGAAGAAAGCATTTCTTGTAGATAATCTTTTTTTTCTTCTTTTTATTTTTGTCATATCTATCCAGGGTCACACGCTAATGTAGACACATGCAAGGCAAGTACATTATATTTTGTACTATTTCCCTGGCCCGAGAAATCATTCAGTTCATTCCCTTTAGTCAACTTTTCCACATTGAGCATACTTATTTAAGCCTTTGTATTCATTCTCCGTATCGTTCAGGTTTTTTTCCAGCTGGGGGCTTCCCAGTGGTACTGGAGGACACCATAGTTATACACAGCAGTGTTTAGGAGGCAATGTAGTATCAAAGATCAAACCTGGGGCACTGGTCAGGTAAGAATACCAGGCCTCTGAATTATCTCCCTGGCCCCTCTGTATCATTTGGAATAGCTCACTGATATCACAGGACATTAACTTTGGTAACACTTAAAAGACATCTTGACCTTACCAGGATTGTTTCTTATGGAAGGGAAATGACTTTAAAACCATTTAAAGGAATGAAAGAAATATCATCATATATTTTCTAAATGTTACTCTCTCTCTCTCTTTTTTTAAAAATGTTTCTCTTTTAATAGTAGCTGGCCCATGAGTTCATGAGAAAGAGAAGAATTTCTATTGAATTTTATTTTTCCTGCTTTTTGGGTCACACCTGGTGAAGCTCAGGAGTTACTCCTGACTCTGCACTCAGGAATTGCTACTGGCAGTGCTCGGGGGACCATATGGGATGCAGGGGATCCAACCTGGGTCGGCCGCATGCAAGGCAAACCCATTGTACTATAGCTCCAACCCCTTTCATTGTATTTTAAGGATTGAATGAATTACTCAGCTTGTTCTTGGATTTTAGGAGGTGAAATATTAAACAGTATGTAAAAATGCTAAACGCTATCAAAATAAATGATGAATACGAGTACAAAAATGTATGCTGAAATGTTCTTCAGTTGCTATTTTCCTAAATATTAAGGAAATTTTGCTTTTTTATCACTCAAGCTAGGACACTTGGATCAATTCTGGGCCAACAGTGACCTTTCTACAATTTTTAAAGCAATCTACCATTTTAAAATTTTCTGAATCAACAACTGGGTTCTTAAAGCAATCCCATTCTTGACAAATAACTTGGAAAATGAAGATAAATTAATCTGACAAGACAGACAAAGAATTAGAGGTAAAAAACCATTAACAACAGGTAGACTTTCAGGTAGCACACACAAACATACCTCCTGGGCTGTGACCGGCATTCCTCCTCCCCACTGTCTGCCTCCTGCATAGAAAGAAAATGAGAAAAAATAATTTAAAAAGTAGGTATTATATCACAATATCAACAGTGCAATTTCACAAAGCTTTCTTTACATGTAAGAGTAATTCATTCATGGTATGTATCATAGTCTCTCTGCAGAAAATGGCTTCGAGCAACCCACAAGGTTTATATTACTAAAATTTATTCCTGGAGGAATTGTATCTACCATATTTCCCAGATTATCTCTAAAAACCACGTGAAGATGCCATATTCCTAATATGCAATTTCATTCTATTACAAGAGAGATATACCATGGGGCTGGAAAGATAGCACAGCGGGTAGGGCGTTTGCCTTGCACGCGGCCGACCCGGGTTCGAGTCCCAGCATCCCATATGGTCCCCTGAGCACCGCCAGGAGTAACTCCTGAGTGCAGAGCCAGGAGTAACCCCTGTGCATTGCCGGGTGTGACCCAAAAACCAAAAAAAAAAAAAAAAAAAAGAACAAGAGAGATATACCATCAAAATATTTCATCAAGATGGCCTATTAATGATTCTAATCCTTGAAGAACAAAAACAATGAGCACCACTGCTTCATAAAGTTCTCATGATCAGATCACTATGATCACCAATATAACAGTTATTATTTAATGAATATAATGTGCTAGCTTTCTTTCCTAGCACTGAATTTCACTGCTACCTGATAAACTCAGAAGTTTGGCAGTACGACACTTCACTGATTGCAATACACACACACACAATTTAGGATAAATCTATGAGCAATGTGACTGAACACTAAATGATAATTGAACTGCATTTATTTTTCACAACGGCACATATAGAATGACACAGGGTATTATGATTTATCATAATACAGATTCACTGAAATTTAGGAATGTTTTTCAGATAAAGAAATTGAAATTCCCAGAGGAAAGAAGTCAAGGAAACTCACACAGTGAAGCTATTGCCTCCCAACATTTTGAAAAAGTGTGTAATATACCCGAGCATATTATTATATTTATTATATATTAAGATATTAGGTCTTCACAAGATAAGAATATTGGGATAAAGGAAAAGTTAAAAAGAAAAAATATGAGAGAATTATTGATACCAACGTGCTAATTTTTTTCTTTAATTTTTTTTCTCTGATATTTTTTGTTTTTAGGCCACACAGACTGATGCTCAGGGGTTATTTCTGACTATGTACTCAGGAACTATTCCGGGTAGTTCTCAGAAGACCATATGGGATGCTGGGGATTGAACCCGAGTCAGTAGTGTACAAGGAAAGCGTCAACCCACTATATTCTCTCTCCAACCCCCATCCCTGACATTTTAATATTTGTTCTCTGGGCACTTTTGTCCTATTTGGCAAATACAAAAATTGGAGGAGAAAAGTAATCGCCAGCAATATGTATACCTTTTGTCATCCAGTCAACTATATTTTCTAGTTTAGATAGTTACCGTGCCCTATCCCCATTCACTTGTATCTCATTCTGTCTCCATTTCTGGGAAGACACAACCAGACCAACTCCATATCTTTTATATCCCTTTTTTCTTTCTTGTTTTGTTTTGGGGTCATACCCAGTAGAACTTACTCCTGTCTTGGCTTTGGGGGACTATATTGGGTGCTAGGAATCAAACCCAGGTGAGCCACATGCAAGGCAAGGCTCTATGCATTGTACTATTGCTCCAGACCCTCCTTTTTAGTTTTCATTATCAATTTCAGGCACGTTTATTTTCCACAAAAGGAAGAATACAGCAATGATTCTTGCCCTAGGAGGAAAACAGGTCAAGTAGCATTGGTGCGTTAAACTCTTTGCATTGTTGGAATGATAGAACAGTGGAAGGGGCTTGCTTTGCATAATGGCCCACCTAGATCAATCCTGGCACCACATTTAGTCTCTCTAGCCCTACCAGGAGTATCTCTGAGCACAGAGTCCGGAGTAGGACCTGAGCATAGCCTAGTGTGGGACCAACAAAACAAACAATTTATAGCATGTTATAAATCATTCATGTTGCTGCATGTAGCAGAAACTAATCCTTTTTTTAACTTCTGATGATTCATTCTGTTGAATGAACATACCAAACTTGTGTGTGTTCATCTTTTATAGAGACCTATCAATATTTCTCCTAGCTAATAATAAAATACACTTTGTCATTTAAATTTTTCCCTCGACGGGGAACCCAGACTATGGGTTAAGGTTTACTAAAGTTTGTAAAAATTCATGACCTCATACTTGCCCATGGCACTTTTTAAGCCACTGAGCCACCTTCCAGGCACTTTCTCATAAGGGATGCTAGAGATAGCAGAGTCTCAGGCTCACCTTAGTGCTTATGGTTGGCACTGAGGTTTGAACTGACAGTCTTTCTCTTTACCAGGCAAGTGCTTTAAAGCCACAGAGTCACCTTATGGCCCCTTCTTGCTAGGGCCAAACAGCAGCACTGTGCTTATGCAGGTGAACTAGTTGAAGAATCCTTCACTCATATTATGTCTGAGGTCTCAGCATGGATGGTGGGAACTGTCAGAGTATCTATAGTTTGGGCTTCCTCATTTTATACTTGCCTTTGTTGGTCTTTTAGCATGGTTGTTCAGGGATCTTCCAAAAGTCTAGGCTCAGAGTTGGTACAATGTTACTTGGCCCATGCACTGTTGGTATACTGATGCAGTCTAGATCAGATTCAAAGGGAGGGAATTAGACTGCCTTTCAGTAGAAACTGTTGGCCAAGAATTTGGTGTTCTTCAGTTATTTTAGCCAAGTTCTCCTGAAACTGGAAATCATTACTGAGGAAGTATCTCATCATACATGTTTTTACTTTAAAGGAACTTAAAGGAAATATATGAAATGTAGTGGATGTTTCTTCAGTTTTCTGTTGCTTGAAATTGTAAGCAAGAAAATTTAAGGTTGGGGATATAGTACAGAGGTTAAAGCGTTTGACTAAGATTTCAAGCAACAGTTCATTTGTAAAGTATCGCTTGAAATGGGGATGTATCTTTATAGTAAAGCACATGCTTCACATGCATGAAGTGTATGTGTATAATCTAAAGGTAAAGGTAAAGGTAAAGGCCCTCCCGTTGATCGTCAATTTGCTCGAGCGGGCCCAGTAACATCTCCATTGGAGACTTTGTTGTTACTGTGTCTGGCATATCGAATACTCTCTCTCGGTAGCTTGCCGGGCTCTCCGAGAGGGGCGGAGGAATCGAACTCGGGTCGGCCATGTTGGCCGCTTGTAAGGCGAACGCCCTACCCGCTGTGCTATCTAGAAAGAAAAAAAGGAGGTATCATCATCTAGTCAAAGCTAGATGCAGAGCTGTTGCTGGATGATTTTTGTCTACAAACTACATTACAATTAAAAACATATTTAGTTGTGCAACTCTTCTACATGTGATAATTGAGGGGTGGGAGATCATTTGGGCCACACCTTGTGGTGCTTAGAGACTATTCCTGGCTCTGTGAGAGATTCTTGGTGGTGCTCATTGGACCATATATGGTACCAGGGGTTTTAGCTCCAAGTAAAGTAAGCACTTTACCCTGTCTCTGGCCCCCTGCTTATGATAATTTTAGGGTTACTATACTTTCTCTTTTACCACCAGGGATCCAACTTGATTCAAAAAGCAACAAATCTTAACTATGTTCTGAATCTGTCACTTCTGACAAACATGCAATATGGAAACCTCATAAAAGTCAGCTAGTCAGTTCAAACTCATGAGAGCCAAGTGTTATATTTTTAGGAATCTTGTGAAAGACACAATGGCTAGCTTGTAGTTGGTCATGGAAATCTTTACCAGGAAAATCAGCAACTATAGGGCGTTTGCCTTGCACGCAGCCAACATGGCCGGCCCGAGTTCGATTCCTCCGCCCCTCTCGGAGAGCCTGGCAAGCTACTGAGAGTATCTCGCCCACATGGCAGAGCCTGGCAAGCTCCCCATGACGTATTCGATATGCTAGACACAGTAACAACAAAGTCTCCAATGGAGACGTTACTGGGCCCGCTCGAGCAAATCGATGAACAATGGGAGGGCCTTTACCTTTATTACAAATCAACCTTTGCCCTGAACAAAATTTGGGGGTGGGGTGAAGGGCACCTAGTGGTGGTTGGGGGATTATGCAGTGTTATGGATAGAACCCGGGGCTCCTGCATGCAAGTCATGTACTACAGCCCTTCATTCATGGGTTTAAGGAAAAGGAGTACTCGGGTCAGCCACAGGCAAAGCATGCACTATGCCCCATTTCTCAGGCCCTGAGAACTGATTTTTGATCATTTATAGCAAACTATCTAATGCGGGGCCCCAAAATTTGTATTTTATAGGAATTCCACGGATAAACTGATGAGCAGTTTATCTTAGAGATCTGGAAAAATAATTAAAAGGCTCAGGGGACACATAACTATTAATTTTTCAATGTGTGTTAGGAGATCAGTAATGACGAGAACTCAGCTCTCCAAAGAGATTTATTATCTTTTTTCCCAAACAGTAAACTCTCTGAGGGCAAGTTTATGTTTGCATAGTGGCAATCATACAGAAGCTATTTGATCAGTATTAAATGAATTCGTATTATCCAATGAATCCTGACCAGCTTAGTGGCAAAAAAGGCTAATTGCAACACAACATGTGCTTCATCTTCATTAAATTATTGGTCATATTTTTATTTTATCAACCCAAAATGAGTGCTTAAATATGGGGTAGAAAGCAGGTAACACTATCGCTAGATAATGAGACTACCTCTGTGCTACTTTCTGGTTCTCCATAATTTAAAGTCTCTTTATGATGATATTCTCACTTGAACCACCCTAAGATGAATGTCATGTAAGTACTAACATGGACCCATAAGGAATTAAGAGCAGGGTTCACAATTAAAACTGGAAAACTCCTCTGGGCATGGTTGTTTTCTCAACAAATGAAGAATGTTCTTATTTGTCCTTCCGCCAAAAGCCTGTATAAGGAAGATAACATGCAGGCTGAACTCTTCTGACTCAAGAGAACTAGCCCAACAAGAGTTCTCTGTGGCCTACCAGTCTGCAACCTGCCCT